GTAGGCACAGTGGGGTGTCCCCTTAGCCCTCTGTCACAGGTGGGGTGGGTGTAGGCACAGTGGGGTGACCCCTTAGCCCTCTGTCCCAGGTGGGGTGGGCGTAGGCACACTGAGGTGTCCCCCCCACGCACTGGGTCATAGCGCTGGGTAGACGCAGGATACAGCTGCTGCTCTAACACCCTTCTGCTCCTTGTTATCCAGCTCTGGAAACCAAGCTCTGGTTTTGAGGAGCCGCCTTCGACTCCCTGAGATGGTCAGCCACCCTGCGTTTGTGATTGTCTTCCAACTGGAGTACGTGTTTAATGCCTCCGCAGGACTGGACGGCAAAGTAAGAACAGCCCTTTAGTGTTCAGGTTTCGTCTGGTGGTGGGCTGCGGGTACCTGGGGCACACCGAGCTCAGGCATTTCATTCCACAGAAGCAGTGCAGTCCATGTTAGCAGTATGGATCCAAGACGTCTTCTTCACAATAGCTGTCTTAGAATCGTTTCCCCACTGTGCCCGGGATGTTGCAGTGCATTCTGCTGGCTGACAATAATGGATCCAGAGCCCAATAGGCCTTATGTATCATAATAGCATTAATTCATAATTACCAAATCAATGTAGATTTTGAAAAACGAGGCTGTTTTAATGTATTTTTCATAGAGTTTTAAGTGTAGTAAAGCCTGAAGTTCTTAGAGTGAACTTTGTACCTGTCGTAATTAGACACTCTGATGGCACAGTGGTTAAGTACTTGCCTGCTAACTGGAAGGCTGGCAGTTCGAATCCACCCAATGACACCACAGGAGAAACGCCAGGCAGTCTGCTTCCGTGCAGATGACAGCCATTGGAAGCCTGTGGCCTCACTCTTGTCTGTAACACATGGGATCACAGTGAATTGGAACAGACTCATTGGTAATGGGTCTGGTGTTCCGTGTACTCTTCCTAGGACCTAACGCCTGGCCACAATCACTGTAATGAAGTTGCTGCTCCCAATTCTGCTTTTCTCTGTTATCAGAAACGTCATTGACAAAGAAGCTATGTGTGGATGTGCTTGAGCTTCCAGGGGAGCTGGGGCACTTGGGTTGGATGTGGGAGGTTGTCCTGAGAGAGGGGAGTGGGCCTGCAGGTGCCGTGTCGGGGCAGCTCCCAGCGCAGTCCCAGCGTCTCAAGGGCCTGGTGCCCCCGTGGGGACTTGGGACTCTCCAGAACCCTCATTTACATTTAGATAACGTCCCCTCCAGAACATTAATTACAATTTACTTGCAACTATGATATCTGTATGCCGGAGCTGATAGGTTTTATTATTATTTTTTTAACTGTTCAGCACCATGCTAACCAGCGGCAGGTGGTGTAGCTACGCACCGCCGCTCACGCTGCCTTTGGAAGGTAGCTATGCAATAGTTCATAAATTCCTTTTGATGTGGTGGTTTATCTTCACATGGAATATTGGATTCTGTTTACTGTCACCAACTGTACTTTCTTCAGTATCATCAGGAGAGGAGATGTTCCTGTGTATGAAATGATCTTCCTCACAAATTGCTTGCTGTGTGGAACAGTGGGACGTGCTAAGCATTCAGCCGGGAAGCCTGTATCAAACCTCCCCGATGTGAATGGGCTCAGGTGGTGAGGATGCAGTGAGGACTGAGCCTGACTGGGCACTCGTCCGTCCCCTGAGGCTTCTGTCTATATGACAGGGTAACCCTCACCTCAGTGCGTTCCTGGTCTCCTTAACAGTTGGTCTGTAAACTGGAGCCAGAACCAGTTGCTGCTGAGTCGCCTCTGTCTTATGGTGAGCCCATGTGTGTCAGAGTAGAACGGAGCTCCACGGGGTTTTCAGCAGTTGGCTTTTCAGGAATCGATCTCTAGACGTTTCTTCTAAGGCATCTCTAGATGGACTTGAACCTCCAGCTTTTTGGTTTGTAATCAAGTACATGAGCTGTTTGCATTACCTGGGAACTCTGAGCAGTCCATTTGGGGACATCATTCTTCCATTGGGACGAGGCCTTCTCAAACCTATTCATACAGTCAGGCAGCAGATTTCGATCTGTCTTTTCTTTCCTTTTTGAAAACTTGACATGATGGAAAGTTTCAGACATGCACGAAAGTGGGCTGGAGCGTTTCATGACCCCCAGGAAGCTTCAACAGTTAGTGACTCTACCCACAATCTTTTCTCATCTCTCTCCTCACCCACAACCCATTCTGAGGCAAGTTTTAGACATCATTTTATCAGTAAACATTTCAGCATGTACATTTCTTGTTCTTTAAATACCTTTTTATCATGGAAAATGTCAGACGTCTTCAAATGATGAAACCCAAGTAATCAGCTCATGGCCACGTTTTCCTGTCCCTCTCCTTATCCCTGGTTATTTTAGAGCAAAATCCAAACATCAAGTCATTTTTTCTGTCTGTGTTTCAAGATATATATCTGAAAGATCGACGCTTAAAAGCATAGCTTTGTCCTTGTTATTGTTTACTGTTGAGTTGATTCTGACTCACACCCACCTCATTTGACAGTGTAGAGCCAACTCCACAGAGTTTCCTAGGCTGTAATCGTTATGGGACCAGATCGCCAAGTCTTTCTCCCGCTGAGCCGCTGGGCGGTTCCGACCGCCAATCTTTCAGCTAACAGCCGACAATTTCACCATTGCACCACTAAGTTAATACCATATCATAGTATCAGCAAATATCCAGCCTTGGGTGTAGAATTGAACAGAAATGAGGACCCCAAACAAGCATCCTTCTCTCTGAGAATGACTGCAGCAAGACACCTGCTTTTGTGAACTGTGTCATGGTGTCTCGAGGTTGTCGCTGACTGCGATTCATTCTCAGGATGGCTTTGTTGAGTTTAGCACATCATATGTTGCTTTAGCATAAAGTTTTGCTAAAGGTAATACAGAAACGGCTACAATCATACATTGACAGAGAACTTCCAGAGGTTCAAGCTGGATTCAGAAGAGGCCGTGGAATGAGAGATATCATTGCTGATGTCCGATGGATCTTGGCTGAAAGCAGAGAATATCAGAAGGATGTTTACCTGTGCTTTATTGACTACGCAAAGGCTTTTGATTGTGTGGATCGTGACAAGCTATGGACAACATTGAGAAGTATGAGTATTCCAGAACACTTAATTGTACTTCTAAGAAATCTGTTCCTAGATCAAGAAGCAGTTGTTCGAATAGAACATGGGAAAACTGAATGTTTTAAAATTGGGAAAGGTGTGAGACAGGGTTGTATTCTTTCACCATACTTATTCAACCTGTATGCTGAGCAAATAATACGAGAAGCTGGGTTCTATGAAGAAAAACGTGGCATCAGGATTGGAGGAAGACTCATTAACAACCTGCTATATGCAGATGATACAACCTTGATCGCTGAAAGTGAAGAGGACTTGAAACATTTACTTATGAAGATTAAAGAGCACAGCCTTCGATATGGATTACATCTCAATGCCAAGAAAATAAAAATCCTCACCACTGGACCAATACACAACATTCTTATCAATGGAGAAAAGATTGAAGTTGTCAAGGACTTCATTCTTCTTGGATTAACTATCAACACTCGAGGAAGCAGCAGTCAAGAGATCAGACGACGTATTGCACTGGGCAAATCTGCTGCACAGGAACTTTTTAAAGTATTGAAGAACAGAGATGTCAGCTTGAGGACTAAGGTGCGCCTGAGCCAGGCCATTGTGTTTTCAATAGCCTCATATGGATGCGAAAGCTGGACAGTGAATAAGGAGGATCGTAGAAGAATTGATGCCTTTGAGTTGTGGTGTTGGAGGAGAATACTGAAAGTGCCATGGACTGCCAAAAGAACCAATAGATCTGTTTTGGAAGAAGTGCAGCCAGAGTGCTCCTTGGAGGCCAGGATGGCTAAGCTTCGTCTCTCCTACTTTGGACATATTATCTGGAGGAAACAATCGTTGGAGAAGGATGTCATGCTGGGTAAGGTGGAGGGTCAGAGAAAAAGAGGAAGACCCCCAACGAGATGGATCAGCCAGGTGGCATCATTGATGGCGCCAAGTGTGGAAGCGGTAGTGAGGTTGGCCTAGGATCGGACATTGTTTCGTTCTGCTGTGCATGGGGTCTCTATGAGTCGGTTCCGACTCGATGGCACCTGACAACAACAACATGTTGCTTTATTTCTAGTGCCCGAACAACTCAAAGGGGCCAGGTCATGGTTTTCTGGGTTTCATACTTCACACCAGCAGCAAAAAGTCTCAGCTTCCTTTGTGGAAAGACTCATCATTAAACTGTGTGTGCAGCTTGGTGAGAGACCATCTGGACCAATGAGAACAATAGCTCAATGTCATCCCCAATTTATGCCCAAACACCCAAGGCTGAGCGGATTTGTGTCGTCTTTAAAAACAAGTTTGGAATAAGTTTTGAGACGACACATCCATTTAGAAAAATATTTATCATTGACATTTTGCCATCTTATAGTTGCAATTTGTCTTTTGATGAGCTAAGAAGAGCCAAAGGAAACAACTCCTCTGTGATTTTGAGGCTGTGGGGACAGTGCAGTTGTATTAGATCATCACGGGATGCTGTCAGCTGTGTAAGTACAGGCACCTGCCACTGGTAGTTGATTGCATGGATGCTCACAGAGTCAACTCCCCCAGCAGAAGAGAATGGAGTGGATGAAGGCAGAGCTGCAGAAATACCCAGTCTCTTTAGCTGTTTTTTAATTCCAGAATAGTATAAATCTCCCAGAGGTTTTCAGGGGGTGAAAACAGTCGTTTTCTTGTAAGTAATGTGGAACAATAGCTCCTTTTCCCAAGTCTCTGAGCAGTAAAGATCTAGCTTATTTTTATTTATTAATTTACTAGGATTCTTTGAATAAAACACATTCATTTGACAAGAGTGTGCATGTTTTCTGTGAGGAAGGGACTGGAACATATCCGTGCGGCATATTTCAGATACTCTGCGTTTGTTTAGGATTTACTCCTAAAATTGCCTAAATTTAAATTTCCTATTACTTGGAAATAATCTGAGAAGCTGGATTATATGAAGAAGAGCACAGTGTCAGAATTGGAGGAAGTACTCACCAACAATTTGCATTATGGAGATGATACAACCTTGCTTGCTGGAAGCAAAGAGGACGTTTCAAGTACTTACTCAGGAATACAGCCTTCAGTCTGGATTGCACCTCAAAGTAAAGAATACAAAAAAATTTCACAACTGGACCTATAAACATCATGATAAATGAAGAAAAGATTCAAGTTGTCAAAGACTTCATTTTGCTTGGATCCACAATCAACACTCTTTGGAAGCAGCAGTCAAGAAATCAAAGGACATATTGCATTAGGCAAGATCTCTTTAAAGTGTCAAAAAGCAAAGATGTCACTT